AGTTAAATTTAGAAATTTCAACAAATGATACACGGTTTTACAAAAGAACGGGGAGGTAGGGAAATAAATGTCACACGAAAACTAACTGCTAATGAAAAAATGTCATACTAGATTAGTTGTGTACTTGAAAATGAAGTATATCAGTTAGAAGATATGATCCATAACACATTTTTGAAGTGGTGAAATGCTAAACATCTCAAATTTTATTTCAATTAAAATTACATACTTCAAATCCATAGTACTTTTTTCTTCTTGGGATTCCTCTCTCCCTCAATCAAAACAAAGTTTTGGGTCTGAATTTTTTTAGAGGAAATGTCCTTTTTCATTAGTAATCAAATAATTATTTAGTATCCATCACCCTTTTCTATCTTAAAAACACACACAGTTCAATACTCATATCACCCACTTGCTAAGTGTTGAACTTAAAATTCAATGTATTATTTGTTGTTCCTTGTTAGATTGGCTATATTTGGCGAAATAATGCGTTCAAGATTGCTCAGCTCTATCAAGCTATTTTTTTTATGCATAATGGACACGTGCTGGATGTAATGTCACATCATTTGGGTACAACATCTGGGCTTTCTTCAATAGGCCAGATTGTTGCGTTTTGGAAGGAATTTCCTGTTGAAGATTGAGTTAGATTTAATTGTTTTTATTTAGCAATATAATTATATGATTTGTTAGACAGTTGTGAAGATCAAATTAGATTTAAATGTGATTTAAATTTGAAATTGAAACAAACCAAATCATATATTTCTATATAAGATAATTATGGAACAAGTCGTATCCAAAAGATTGTGCAATGATTCTGGATGAAATTAAATCAAAGATCTAGAGAGAAAATCCCATAATAGTTTTACTATATAAGGAGCTCAAAACCTACATTAGAAAACAAGTAATACGTTGGAGATCTTTAAAGTGCTAGGGTTTATTTGAGTCCTTGTTATTTATTTATGTACACCACTATGTTTCAGTAACTTGGCATAGTTGACTTATCTTAATTGATTTGTAACACTCGACATTGTTTATTGAGTTATAAACACCAATCACAATTTATGTAATTTAGAAGAAAGTGTGTAGGTTTGCATATTTAATCTCAAAGTAATTATAGTAAAAAAATATTGTTTTCTTTGATATCTTGTAATAGAAGTCTTTGAAAATGAATTAATTTGAGAAATACGTGAAAAAATGAGTTAGTTTAAATATTCATTTAAAAAAATAATTATTTGAATAAATACAAATATTTTCCATGCTGAGTCTTAATTTAGTTATATTAGGCAGGGTTGGTCCAACCCGCTTAGAAGTCTAAATAAATTTTTAAAATGAGACCTTTAAAATAAATAAATCAAATTAAATTTTGTATTTAACAAGAGTTGAACATTTTAAAATAAATAAATTAAATTAAATTTTGTATTTGACAAGAGTTGAACTAAAAACTTATAATATATAAGGTCTCTCTTCTACCAACTCAACAATAAAATTTTATGTAAAAATTATATCATTTGAAATATTTCAAATATTTATGATCAAACTAAAAAAATTCTGAGATCTTTTTTAATCTAAAATTTTAAGACCTAAAAACTCTTGCTTAAATCAGCTTATCCTTGGGCCAGCCCTATGAAATGCATGGTCGAATATTTTACAACATTATATAATCGTTTAGTTTATCACATTCTACAATGCATCATTGCAAAATAAAAATGTAGATAATTTGCACTAATTTGAGCCCCGTATGCAATATAATTACTTTTTATTAAATTAAAATTAATTTTTTTTCCACAAAAGACTAACTATTTTTATTTAGAGGGGGTGAAGTAAAAATTTCAATGCACCAATTTAAATTTGGTAGGAAAATGGAGTGAAATACAATGGATGTTTATCCGTAGATTAGTCATTAACTTTTTTATACAATTGGATGTTTATTTATAGATTGATCATTAATTTTTTATACAACTGGTTGTTTATTTATAGATTTGAATAGTCATTAATTATTTATAATAATAGTTAATAAGAGAAATATAAATAAATAAATAAATTAAAATTAAAAGAAATCTTATTAAATATATCAATAAATAAATTGAAATAGAAGAAACCTTATTTTTCTTTTTCTTTCTTTAATAAAGAAAGAAATCTTATTAAACCTTTCCATAAATAAAAATGGAGTGGGCCAAGTTATTTGGCCCATTACCTAAAGCCCTAATCCCCCACTCACTCCACATTCTCATACACACTTGTTCTTATTCTCAACAACTGAAACGACTCCATCTAAAAAACAAACCCCGTGACCGTCACCACCGGTCACGCTCGCCCTAACTAACTCCTCTTCTCTTTTCCCCACTCTCATGGCATTCTTCCAGAACCGCGTCGTTTTCCCGAAAGAGGAATATCCAGAGATCTTAGAAGAATACGATTTGGAGGAAGAGGAGGAAGAAGAAGACGACTACGTTTTAGAACCACACGAGTATCTCACCAACAATGAAACCGAACAATCTCATTCAACCTCCTCCGCCATCCCCACCGTCATATTAGCCTTACCTAACGCCGCAACGGCTGTCGCCGCTGAGTCCCCTGAGCCAAAACGGCAGCGAATTGAGCAGGTGGAGGAGAAGAAGTCCATGGAGGATTCGCGGAAATTGTTTCAACGTCTCTGGACTGACGAGGATGAGATCGTAATCCTGCAAGGGTTTCTGGATTACAACGCTAATCGAGGATCGGCTTACCATAACGACTCTGCGTCGTTCTATGATCAGATTAAGTCGAAGCTTCAGCTCGATTTCAACAAGAGCCAGCTTGTTGATAAACTGCGACGGTTGAAGAAAAAGTATCGCAACCTTCTCCAGAAATTCGATTCTGGCAAGGATTTTTTCTTCAAAACCGCTCATGAACAAGCTACCTTTGAAATTTCACACAAAATCTGGAACATTGCAACTCCAATTGGGATTCCTGTTGAAGACGATGGCGAAGTAAACCCTAACCCTAACCCTAGCCCAAATTCAGGTCATACTACGCCGGTGAAGAATGAGCCGGTTATTGAGAAGAAAAGGAAGGGATCGCGAACCGCAACGGAGGAGAAGCAACAGCTGCGTAGGTTGAATGATAATTCAGCAATGAATAAAGATAATCATAATAATTCTACTAACAACAATAGTAGCAATGCTGAAGATGAAAGTGGTGATAAGAGTAACAGTAGGCATAACGTGCCTGTATTGATTGAAGAGACTGTGAAGAGTTGTTTGACTCCATTCTTGAAGGAGTTAACCAGTACTAGCAACAACATGGGGAGTCCTTTTGGTTTTGGAGGGAGAGGGATTGGGGGTGGAAGTTTTTCATTGAATCCCATGCCATTTAGTTTTCTGAATTTCGGAAATGGGGATAAGGTGGGAGATGAAAGGTGGAAGAAGCAACAGATTTTGGAGCTGGAAGTGTATTCTAAGCGTTTGGAGCTGGTGCAGGATGAGATCAAGGTTGCTTTGGAGGATTTGAGGTCTGGAGCTGGAGCTGGAGCTGGAGGAAGCAGAAAATTTTAACCACTTATTAAGTTTATAGCATATCTAGACAGCTAGTAATTTTCTTTTCACAGTTTTGGTTTTCTTTTATTTGGAAATACAGCTCTGGCTTATCATAATGATTGCAATTGCATAGAAACAGTTGAATAAATATGTTTAATTTTTTTACTACTCTACTCTGCTGGTGAATTTTATTGTAAATTTACAGAGAATTTAATGGTTGCAATTGCATAGAAACAGTTCAATGATATGTTCTGTTTTTGGTGAATTTCAGAATGCACTTATTTAAATCAATATTTTAGTTTTGATGTCTTTGAAAGTTTGCATTTGTGACATGATTAAAACCTCTGAAATCAGACCTATAATGGCGTGTCTGGACAGACACATTTGATAGTTTATCAGGGTCGTGTGTGCATTTGGTGTCTCTATAGTACATGCATACAATCAGTTAGATTCAAACAAATAAAAACCTGCATAAATATTACTCTTAATATACATTTGAGTTGTAAAATTTGAATTCGATAAGATTATACTTTTTCTCATACCCGTGCGGACGCACGGGTCTTCTACTAGTTTCTTAACATGTCATTTCAATTAGTTTTTTCAATGTCAATTCTTTTGAAATATAATAATAGAACTGTTATTTGAAATCAATTTTTCTGACAGTATGTCAATTATTTCAATATCAAGTTTTCTCACATCTGCTACTTTTACATATTTAAAAAATATACACAAATACGTGAATTTAAAAAAGAAACAAAGGGACACTTTATGCTTCCCCAATTCTTAATGTTCAAATATGATTTCCGGTAATAGTATATAATCTACACCAAACTAAACCAAACAAGCCTGAATTCCCTCAATACAAAGGAAATAAGAAATGTGTCTAACACATTTTTTCACAAATTTTTCTCTTTCTGACCTTCAATGCATAATACAGGCACTGGGTATGACAATCCCAGATAAATATCTGACAATCCCCACCAGGCATATCAAATTCTATTCACATCAAGTATGTACAAGTTAACTATTGTAAAGAAATGCTACCCAGCCTAGTGGGACACAGAATATTACATCCTAGTTTCATATTGTGGAACAAAACAACTACCCTGATTCCTAGCCTACGATTTGATACTCTCCACCAGCCTACACCAGTTCCATGCTAATCCAAGAAAATTGCAAATCTTGTAGCTTTTGCATCTTACCAAAGCCTGGACCACTACCGGATGAGGAACCATGTCAAATCGAGGCAAAACAGAGCACCACTGCATCTAATAATTATCATATAACACTATAAACATCATTGTTCTGTCAAATCAATGACATCACATTATCACTATGTACCTTCCATCGACTATGGAACTAAGATGACCATGAAGAGGCATAGCTAAAATTCAAGGAACACGTAGAGAGACAGCATAGCTCCAATTTGAGGAATGAGCAGAGAGAAAAGAAGAACGTCAAACACTATACAAGTAAAACCCACAACAACCACTATTGATTCCCACAGTCTGGAGTTTCTTGGGGCAACCGTGTTTTAACTTGGTAAACCTTCTTCACCGGCTTATCACGAGGTACTGCCCCATATGTAGCTTCTTGATGCCTAGTATATATTCCATTTATAGGTGCTTTAGCATTCCACTTTGGAGGTGTTGCTGGAGGACCTGTGTTCTGCACATATTGGGGTTCAAAATTGGTTGCTGGTCGAGAAATTGACTGCCTCGATGGTGTAGGTCTCGATCCTTCCTCCATTGTTAGAGAAGAAAACCCATTGTTCACATTTTGAAGTTGTTCTTGATGCCGTGACCTATCTCGTATTCTAAAATTCTGCCTGTTTATGTGCCCACCATTAGATGAGACTGGATATCTATGTCTAGTCATTACACCATGGTGATTATATTCTCCATTATAACTGTCTGTGCTCTCACCATAATATGTTCCATATCCAGATGGTCCAGTTGACTGGAACCTGTTCACTGTATGGCGAACTGGAGGTTGCTCTGTCCGTACATGAGATGTATTATTCCATTTAATGTTAAGGGTGTTCTTGACAAGACGATGAGCTGCTTCTCCTAATTGAAATCCAGTTATTGCTCCAGGTAACTGTGGCCTGTCAGATGCATCACATACACAAAAGTAAGGGCATATCTCATGCATCTAGAAATTCATATGAATAACTTGAAAGCTATTCAGAACTTTTCAATATCCTCGGACATTGATTTCTCCAAATTTTGCATGAATAAAATTACTTGAACAAAAAACTTAATCACAGATTACTTCTCCTCAATTATGGCAACAGATGACATTGACTTATGCTAGCACCATTATCATATGGAACATTAAACTTAGCCATCATGTATGTCATAGTTAGTCTTTTGTATTTTGAAGCCTACACAGAGAACATGAAAATTATACTAGTGCAACTAGACATCCTCATAGTTCTATTCTCACCTTTCCCTGCCTTGCTGTCCCCGACCAGCAATGTCTTCATGCCATAGCATAGGAAAAGGTTTGATATCAATGTCTTTTACTAACTGCAAAAATAAAAAATAAAAAAAATAATCAAAGTCGAGTCTGTATAATATAACTGATCACAGAAGGAATCATGATTTATATTTTGAGTGAAACATAATATAAGCCAACACATAAATGATACCATCCATGTCAACTATCTTAGCCTAGTTATTTCTACAATCAGGTAAATGGATAATTAACACGAACAGAACCACATACACTGGATGAAGTGTGGTCAGCATATACAAACCTTTTTGGGTATCACTACGCCATCTGGAGGTCTTGGGATGTGTCTATGCTTAGAAGGATTAAGATATGTAATATTTCTGAAATTCAAAAAACACTCAATATGAGTCCTCCACCAAATATTGTAAAAGACTAGGCTAGTATAGAAGAAACTACTTACAAGACTTGATTACTCTCAATATCTGGCAATCCATCAATGGGAGACAATACATTAGAGCTCAAAACATTTCTCTCACATGCCCAAAGATATCCGTTCATCCCACCACTGGCAGCAAATAACAGAGATGACAAAACAAGCAAATAAACCTCTTAAATATCTACGGATATTCATGATTTATGAGTGATGGTTAATTCACATTCATTCACCAACCTAGCATTTGCTTCAATCGGTGAAACACATCTTTCATGAGTAGGTAATTGGCCATAAACTTGGTAATACAATAAAATATGTGAAGCCAAATCATGAGCACGGTTGACATAAAGCAAATCAAGCATCACACTATTCCGAATTTGTTCGTCCTCCTGCATCTAACAACAAAAATTCAGCACAAAGACACGGCAAAGAATTTTGAACTCTTTTGCTTTTAAACATGAACAACACTTCAATGCATCTCACAGTTATCCATTTGAAACATCTATTGAAGAGTAAAAAAGATCCAAAACAAAAGCTTCCAGCAAATGGCAACAAAAATATAACAAAGGATTAATTAACACTTAGAAAATCAATCTATCTTAAAATGGTTGCAACTCATCAATATTCAACAATTCCACCTTACATAGTTGCAGCTGCATTCCTCCTGCAAGGTTCTGGGCACACCTTAATGCAACTCACTTTATGATTCAAGAGTTTACAATAAACAATTAATCTCTGGAGAGAAACAACTCTATTTCATTTGCAGAATCCTAAGATCTGCATAATTCTTCTCAGAATTTGGGTTGGGCCTAACTCATCCCTGCAAAACTGGCTTGTAAGGTGAGGATTGCCCCCACTCATAAACACAACCCAGGTCATATCTCTAAATAATGTGGAACTAAAACCACCCCTTCAAAGCCAACACAATGAAAGTGTTGGGAGCTGCAATTAAGGTAAGCCAAAGTGCCGCAATTAAGGCGATTAAGGGAGGACCGCAATTAAGGCGACTAAGGGCGGACCGCAATTAAGGCGGAAAGTCCAACACACCCCCTCACGCTTGGGCCTCAATGAGCCCGAAAGCGTGGCCGATGCGGGAAGCCCAACAATGGATCTAGGATAGGCTCTGATACCATCTCAGAATTTGGGTTGGGCCTAACACATCCCTACAAAACCGGTTTGTATGGTGAGGATTGCCCCCACTAATAAACACAACAAAGGTCATATCTCTAAACAATGTGGGACTAAATCCACCCCTTCAAAGCCAACGCAATGAAGGTGTTGGGAGCTGCAACTAAGGCAAGCCAAAGTGCCGCAATTAAGGCGACTAGGGGCGGACCGCAATTAAGGCGGAAAGTCCAACACACCCCCTCACGCTTGGGCCTCAATGAGCCCGAAGTGTGGACGATGTGGGAAGCCCAACAATGGATCTAGGATAGGCTCTAATACCATCTCAGAATTTGGGTTGGGCCTAACACATCCCTACAAAACCGGTTTGTATGGTGAGGATTGCCCCCACTAATAAACACCACAACAAAGGTCATATCTCTAAGCAATGTGGGACTAAATCTACCCCTTCAAAGCCAACGCAATGAAGGTGTTGGGAGCTGCAATTAAGGCAAGCCAAAGTGCCTCAATCAAGGCGACTAGGGGCGGACCGCAATTAAGGCGGAAAGTCCAACAATTCTAAACATTAGAATATTCCTGGGGACTCCAAAAGAATTGGCAGGCTTAGTTTTACAGCTTATTCTTCCATAAATTTGAAGGACATGTAATTACTATAGCGCGTATCAAACCCCCTTCCCTTCTACGCACAAACAAAACCTACTGTTAACGTGTCTTCAAGCTTCCTTGTGGCGGCAAGTAATTTCTTCTCGTCAATAAATGGCAATTTGGCAACACCCTGAAAGGAATCCACAAATTAGTTTAAAAAATCAAGCTTAACCCTTGGGTAATTCAAAAACAGTTTGAATACATAAAAAGCGATATAATACCTGCCATGCAAATTTTTTCCCACTCATATCAATCTCAAAATCTGTCAAAGGTATCAATGTAATACCAGAATAAGAAAATATGTAAAATATTGCAGAATACAAAGTTAATGGACAAGTTATCTATCTTACCAGCAGGGTAGAAGTGGAAAATTGGTGATGAAGGATTGGTCATCAAATCCCTATATTTTTCAGGCAGTGCATTTGAACTGTAACAAAATTAGAAAGCATCAGCAGATCACATAAAGTAAAACAGTAAAGATCTAAAGACATGAATTTGAACTGTAACAAAATTAGAAAGCATCGGCAGATCACAGAAAGCAAAACAGTAAGAATCTAAGGACGTGAGATGAAGAACCTTGAAGCAGGTAGGACTCCCATAAGCTGATCAAATGGTTTGAATGGCTCTCCCGGCGAAAAAATTATTTCTAGATTAGGGAGATCTTTAAGATCAGAAGCAAAAGGAGCATAATGATATGGGTAGTACCTGGAAAAAACGATAAAAGACAATAGAGAGAGAAATGGACAATGGTCATGTGTGAGAATTCAGCTAAAACGTCGGAGGCATTCCTAGAAATTCACGCCAATTATCAAAAAACAACTCAGACATTAAGACTATAGCTCAGTCATCAAACAATCTAGTATATATCACTTGTTGTCAAATTCGAGATCCCATCTAAGATAGTTTGGGTATAGGAAAATCGTACATCGTGGGATTGTAACACAAATCGCAAGATCCCAACAAAGAGACAAAACCATATTTATTTATATATTATAAATGTTGTGTATGTTCTTTATTAGTTTGGTGGGGTCTTAATTTTTTAGTTTAATTTCCTTTATTTTGTTATTAATATAATAAAAATTAAACCCAACAAAAAAAAGGGTAATAGAAAAGACATTTGGGCTCAATGGCCAAATTTCCACATGAGAAACCCTGAATTAAGACTACACTCTCCTCTAATCCTAGCTGCCCATTTTGTCTCCCAGCATCTTTTCTGTTCATCTTCTCAACCAAGCCATCCACTCTGCCTCTCTCGATCCCATCTTAACTGTCAAGTCTTCTGAGTTTTTTTCTCTTTCAATACGCCATCTTCAAATGGGTAAAAAAACTAACGCTTCCGGCGCGGGAAAGAGCATTTTCCCTATGCTTTCACAGTGTACCTTGCCCCATCGGCCACGCCACCATATGCGGAGTTTTCTACTGTGCCAACACGTTGCAGGAAGATCAACGCGTAAGATCGTGTGCTTTCGGAGTTTTAGTGCGATCTTGACAGCCATGGTCTATAATTATGTTTGGAAGTAGCAATGAAGTTCCCACACAATAGAAAGATACTGGACCTGGAATGCGCACCATGCCATTTATCAAGTCCCACTTAATAATTTAATACAATTATGAAAAAATAATGAAACCATTATTTTAATCATCTTGTCATCCTTCTAATGAAGATTCTGATAGAATTGAAATCAAAATGATCACAGAAGAAGTAACGTGACTGAAGAATGAATTGCATTGCTCTCACGAACGAAAAGATGACAGAATAGCAGCTAACTCCAGAAATCTCAACTAACTCCTTTTTCTGTTTAGCTCCGCCTTTTAATAGCATCGGTCCCAAATCTCTGCTAAACCAACTAACTAGCAATTAACAGTTTTAATTACAATAATTTCAGTAACCCCTCCTTTTCTGCTTCCTCTTTCCATAAACCTATCCAATAGGAGGCATTATTCTATCACATTCTAATATTCAAATCACCCTAATTCGTGCCTATCCATTATTAATATCTTTAAGACAACCAAACATTCAGTTTAACAGCTTCCAAGACCAACAAAAAAGGTATGAGTGGTTGGACTTGACCTTGTGAGAGCAACTGTGGGATAACTTTGTCATTTTCTGAGTTTAAAAGTGGAGTTGTCCACAAAAACTTGTTGGCTGCTATGTTACTAACAGCATATCATGTCATGCATGTAAACTTACCAATCTACCAAATCAATCATGAAAAAAGTATCCTATTTCCCAGAACTAAAGAGTAAAATAAAAAATATCACTAACCATTTCCATGAGCATACGCCATTATAATAATACTGGCAAACCCAACAAAGGCCTTCCACGTATTTCAAAACCTACAAGAACAGCAGAGACAATAATTTAAAATATTATTTTCCAATAGCAAGAAATTAATGAGAATGAGCAGGATAATTGTCACAAGGAAGATAACTATTCAAAATCAACAAGTTCATCTACCAATAATAAGAATTTGCATGAAGCATAACCCGAATCCTACATTGGATTTTGAGAAATATATATCCAGCAAAAAAGTTGTTATTGGTTCCAAGATTGAACTTCATTTACACCAGTATCTAGATACCCATACAACGGCAACATATTCACATGAATTTACTTCTCTCCTTTGAACAAAGGTTGGGACTTGGGAGTAATAACACAATTTCAAGACCGTCTAACATGTGTCACTGTCAAAGATACCAGTTTAGAACGGGGGAATTATGCTTGTAGATTACCATTTTAACAGTATAGACAAGAAAATGTGACGGAAATTACGTACATGCGCACACATGCATTTCATGAATCATCTACCCTAAAACCTGGGCTTTTAACTGAAGAAACATAAATGATTTTTATCTTATATGTATAACACAGCTTCCCATGAAATAGCTCTATGGACTTTAAGTGTGATCATGCAGAAACACACCTATCTTTTACTGAAATTCAGCTTTTTATTTGAAAAATGGAGCGGCAAGGTTCAATCTCCAGACCTCTTGGTCATGGATGTTTTGTTACCGTAGTATGAAACAGCTACTAAAAAACTGAAGTTATTAGGTGAAAATATAAGGTTTGCGAATGGTTTAACTCTTAATATAATATCTCTAACAAAATATTAGAGTAAGTCCAATATATGAGCATGCAATGTGATACAAGAACAGTAAATAATTTGACAAGGTTGATTATTTGTAAGTAAGAAAAAATTATAGAACTTACTACATCTTTCTTAATTTTATCAATCTCCTCCAGACTTGATACACCAAACTTTTCAACATAATACCTTTCTTTGTATCCAGGCTGCCCTAACTTGACCTGAGAAAATAAGAAACATGCAGTTCATTATGAAAACTCTGCCAGGATTTCTAGATTGCTTATAACACAGACAAGTTACCCCATGTGCATGTTTGGGAACACCAGTAGAATTACTTTGGCAATCAAGAAAAGTTATCCTGGTGGAGTTCCAAAACATGCTGCAGAAAGTCAACAATATAATAACTAAATTTAGCCAAGAAAATATAAGAATGTTCGGGCAATAAATATGATACCGAACCTTATCGGAAAGTGAGGGTCGTGGCTCTTGAAGCATTACTCCTCTTGCCCTAGCTCTCATCTCTTCATTATTTTCTGCCACCTATAAATACAGTAACAAGAATTAAATATCAGGAAGCAACCTACAATACAAAAGCGTACGAAAGTAGCAGAGTGCATGCATATCAGTTCACAAAATTAATTAGAAAGCAAAATACCTCCTGAATTCGAACTCGTTTCTGAAAGATTTGATCTTCATGAACAGCAACAGATTGAATAAAGTATTCCACTCTATCTAAGAAAACCTGGGAGGGATAAAGATATTTACAATGCAACACCCGTTGAAAAGAATAAATTCCGAATTGACGATTTAAGAGTTATATACAAAAACACAATATAAGCAACTGAAGAAGTGAATAGATAATTGCAGGAGAAGGCTGTAAAAGAACATATCACAACCTAATGACATTTTGATGAATAAAAAGATGAGCACAGGATATAAAAAGATTACCTCGCCCGCATGAGTAAGATAGCCACCCATGGCAGTAAACTTCTTTCTATATAGATGCATCAGTAAATTTATAGCTCCCTGGAATAGTAGAAAGTGTATTAACAAGTAAAACAATGACACTAAGGTAGGAAGATAAATACGCAGTGGAATAAAAAGGCATAACCAAAACATGTTAAGATCCTACATCAAATACATGGTAATAAGAAGCAAATAGCAATGTCATCTTTTCTGTTTCAAGTACAGGTTGGTGTAACAGGGTGCCTTCCAGATGCTTACCTCCCTGATCTCTAATGTTGGCATATGAGGAAGAAAGTCGTTGCCGACAAAGAAGCATAGAAATACAAAATCATCCACTACTCGTTCAAAGTCAATCTCAAAAGGAGGGTTGGGAATCTCCAATTCATATTGCAAATATTCACGAAGCACCCAGATGTTAAGAAACTGTGAATACTACGAATTAGTTTAAAGTTAAAAAGAAAAAGAAAGTAAAATGAAGATTCAGATCAACATGCAGGATTTCAATCTTCCAACCTGATATTTCTTCTTGTGAATTGGTTTATCATCAGCAGGACTCCCGTCCTCAATTTTAGTTTCTGGCTTACCATGACAATCAGCTGCATAATGGCCAACTTGGCCACACACATAACACTTGTCCTGTTGTCCAGGTAAAGTAATTACCTGTCCATCAAGCAATTAATCATCTGATACCGTGAAAAATATTTCCAACAGATACTATCTATTGATATCAATGAGATAACAGTATCAGGCTATCAGCTGAGCAATTCACGCATTGGAAACTAACCTCCCTCAATATTGAGAAGTGAACCTCATGAGTAGCTAAGGAGAGCATAATCAAATCAGCATCCTGGTTTAAAGATCATAAAATATCATGGAAAAATCAAGGAAAGGATAAAAGCACCCTAGACAGATAAAATGAAAACTTAAATTAGGACAAAACAAAACATACCAATCCATACAAACAATGGCGAGTATTCGGATTGAAACCAGGAACATTACGTTGTAACCGGATGTATTCCATTATTTTATGTTCTCCCTCACCAGGAACATTTGAATCAGAAAGTATAACCTTCAAATAATTAATCATCCAATGCAGCCCATAAATAAATATTTAGAGAAAGAGCATCCTGAAAGCCAGATGTATAAGGGAGAAGAAAATAGATGGGATTACTCCAGAAGAAAGGAATCATCCCATCTTGAAGGGATCAAGCAGCATAAAGAATTAATAGGATCTGGTTTCAATTGTTTAGCACCTTTATATTTTTCCAGGCAGGGCTGAGGTTCAATCTAGTCTGTACATAAGACTGAAGAGCCACTGACAGAGCTGCCATAAATTTAGTACCAGGGGTAATGACATTTGAGTCTGAAGTCTCGGGCTTATCTTTGGAAGGCAAAAGTGTTCCCTCACTGATTAATTCTTTCCTCAGCCTTTCCTCTTCTGCTTCCTATGATGTTTAAAAAAAGCTCAGTAACTTCATCAGAAAAAAGTAGGAGAACCTTGAAAGAATGAGCATATTAACATTCTTACAGCCTCAGCTGCATCTTTTGCAGCTCGGAAGCGTCGAGAACGTTGCTGATTCATTTTTGCTCGTGGTGCAACACCATCTGCAAATTTCAATGTAAGGAAACAGGAGACAATAGCTGGCATGGCAAAAAGAGTAAATGTAAAAAAAAAATTTAAAAATTTTTGAAAAAAAAAACATGAAAATGGACAGAGAGATTGTGTGCTATGCAACTAAAACTTTTTAAGGAGTAAGGACAAAAACATTGCAGCCTTCCAAAAATTGGATGTGTAAGTTTTTTTTTTAATAAATACTCAAGAGTCTTATTATAAAAAGATTTACACTAAATTTGAAATGTTCAAATCAAACTTCAAACCATATAGTGGTGGGTTTAGTTGGAAGAAACAAAATTAAGAGAAGAATGCAAAGCAAGACGACAAGACATCCTCACAAGAAAGCAAAGAGAAAGGTTTTTGGAACCAAATTGTTGGATGATGATAAATCCACCTCTTTAACGCAATGTTTTAAAAATCAGACCAAACTGCTTGAAACGGGAACCAGCCAACTTACATGTTGGTTTCATCTCTATTGTACTACAGTCTGGTTGGACCGAATTGGTTCAACCGAATTGAATTCTACTCAAACAGCGGTTGGTTTAACTGGTACTTTGTTTTCTTAACACTTATTTATTTATTTATCTATCATTTGATTCACCATGGCTGAACAAGTTAAACCAATTGAACCATGACGCGGATGTCTCATCTCACCGGTCTGATCTCTGGTCTAGTTTTCAAAACATTGTTTCAATATGATTTCTAGGTTATAACAGGAAGTCATAACTTCTAACACGGTAGGGTTTAGCAACAGAAATAAGACAACTCCACAGTGAGTGACAATAGTACACATACCAGTTGCAAAGTAGAGAAGCTTCCTCGGACGAACCAACAAAAAGAGATGGTCAACATAATCAAATATCAATTGAAACACCTCATCGTAGGTAGCTGGTGCTGGCTGCATTTACAAGATTTATGAATCATAACAGTGCATTACAAATTTACAACTAACTTGTACTTAAGAAACACAAACTAATCAAATTCCAAAACAACAAAAACGCAGAAATTTACTTCAGATCACTGTATAATAACACCTAAACTTAACTAAATAAAGAAGGGGGTGGCAGAACTTGAAACGATTAGTTGAAATTAAGAAGAAGAAAAAGTGAAGTGAAGAATGTTACTGCATACTTTGCCATCAGGGTGAAAACAAGGATGAATGATGCCGTTCATGTCCAAGTACAGGTTGTCGAACTCCATTCCGTTGGGATTTGGTGTAGACGCGTCAATAGGCAAAGGAACGCCGTCGTCGGTGACGGCTGGTTCTTCTTCGACTACATCGGCGATCGAGAGTGGGTAACGGTCGGCGAGCCACCGGTAAAAAGCTGGGACTCCCATAACTTGGAGGGGTTTGGGAACGGTGAATAAGGAGAGGAGTGTGTTCGTGAAGAGTTGTTGTAGGCGGACGGAAATTCCTTTCTAGGCGCTGTTTCATTCAATTCGGATGCACGGTTCCATCACAATCACACTAATTGCCTCGGTGAAGACAACAACATCCAATTTTGATGTATTTTTATTTTTTTCATTTTATTTTAATTAAGATGTCTTAAATGAATGTGATTATCACTTTAAATAAATTAAATTAATCAATATTGAAGAATACTAAAAGTCAAAAGTAGAATACTATATTTAGTTAAAATCAACTATTAACCCTTCAAAAGTATATTGTATGGTTTGACCATCTTACCTTTCTAATAATTCGCGTGTTCGTCTGTCTGCTTTTTTTAATATTCATAAAAATATAAATAATATTTTTTATTAGAATAATTTTTTTTTAAATATAATATGTGGAAGTTAATAATAAAAAATTATGTGAAAGTTAAAAATAATAAGTTATGTGGAAGTTAATAATAAGAAGTTATTAAATAAATTACACAAGAAAATAAGGGTAAAAATGGTGGAAAAATAAGTCACACCAAAACAAAATATTCCGTTTATATATTGTATAAATTTATTTTACACTACATTTTGGATATTTTGATAAATAACAAAACACATAAATTAATCCAAACTGTGGCTCTCCCTTCCTGCTAAATGTCCATCAGCAATTGGCTTCCTTAAAAAAAAATTTCCCCCATTTCAACATATTCTAAATCACACGCATAACTTTTACTTCTATCTCTCTCTCATTTGAATATTTTTCTTCCTTCCCTCTTTCTTATTCTCTCTTCTCCTCTCTCTTTCCTCATTTTCCCTCCAAACCCTAACATCTCCGCCTTCTTTCTCCGCCATATCCACGGCTACCACCACCTCCGATGAAAAACCCAACGCTATTTTGTACTTCTCACGACCTTCCTAATAAATTGATTGGATTTTTGTTTCGAATTACAACAATTTCTCTTCTTCGACCGTCACAACTCCAAACGGAAACCCAAAAACTCATCATCATGTCCATCTTCTTCGATAACAACAAAAACTCTAAAAGTATGTTCTATTTTATTTTAAGTTTTTTCTTACTTTTTTTATGCAAAGACCGATTTTATCCGTTCGTATCTGTTGTTTGATAATATTTTTACCGATTTCATCCAACTACAAATGAAACAGGTGTAAATTTCTTCACTTTCTATTTTTATTTAAAACAACATCATATATTAATCTTTCTGTTTTTATCTTTGTTGTTTTTAGGTATTTTAATTTACTGATACAAACTTTTTGTTTTTGTTTACAGATATAGAAAGAAGAAAAAAGCTGAAGGGTGATGAATGAAGGGGGTTTAACATATGGTGTTGTTTTATTTACTGTTATTGTTTCTATTGTTTGTTGTTGTCTATTTTGATGACTTTGTGGTTTTTCTTTTTGTTATCATTAGTGACAGTTCATGTGTGTTACTATTAGGGATATTATTGAATTGATATGTGGTGTTTGTGAACACTACTCATGAGAATGACTTAAGATATATGAGCAGTTTCAATGAATGGAGATATTATCATGACTTTGATAAAATTGTTTGTAGGAAGGACTCTTACTTTTTTCTTTTTCTTTCAGTAGCATCATTCTGGATTATTCTCACCAGTATTTTGGAGCAACAACATAGAAAGCAAAGTAAGCTCTCATCAATTATATGTTATGTTCTGTTTAAGAATGTTACTGTTAATTCTAGGCATTAGCTAATATGAATACGCATATTGTAACACCCTTCTAAACCCCGCAAATAATATATGCATAATCAGAGTAAAAGTTAACATGCATCCATAAAAGGGCATCACACAAAACTTGCACCACATTAAAACAATCTGTCATGCTCATAAACACCTTTCCATTTAGCAGCGGATTCATTAATGAAAATCCTTTAAAAGAAACATTTACTTTCATCATATAAAATCAACATCTCTAGGCACTAAGGCCAACATCTCATTATCTCAATTACTCCAAATATGAAAACATAACTTAGGTTACATAATGTAATCCTAAAACATAAGCAATCGATCCCCGTGTTACACGACCAGAGCATGACTCGACCCATAAATAATTACTAAACCGCTACACACGTAGCGACCTCGAACTACAAGTAGAACTTCATAAAGGCCTCCAGGAACCTAATCTGCAATGCCTCATAGAGCATTATAAAACAGCAGAAGGGTGAGAAATATTACCATAATAATCAAAGCATAAAATCATGTATACATAGGTATCATATAATTAACTCCCTATTTCTCACCACAATTCAACTCATAGTCATTTACATCGTCACTTATATATATATACAACATGAACATTCACCAAGCATTTTACATCATGCATACATCCACAATTCCACAATCTTAACATTCACACGTAAGCATCTCTTCATGCACGCTTCATAAGTATTCAACAAACATCTCATTCACATGCATACTTCATATATCAATGACATTATACAATGTGACTCAACAACTCAATGCAACTCAATGCAATGCGGTACCGACTTCCGTTATCATTTTTCGGTTTTTACATTAAACCGGGTCCACTCTTCTAGACCGATAACTCGTTATCATTTTTCGGTTTTTACATTAAACCGGGTCCACTCTTCTAGACCGATAACAACAAAGGCCCGTCCTCTAAGCCTTCAAACCCACTCTTCTAGGTTTGGGACAAGCCACTAGTTTCCACGAAACTAACAGACATTGCCTCTTGACTAAATGATGCATGTACAATCAGCCACAACAAATGCACTTAAGACCGACATCTTAATCTCATGCATTCAAATAATTCATCTCTTCAAGAATTACATTATGATTGCACACACAACATATTCACATAACATTCATCGATGTATTCATAATTCAACACTATCACCACATTATCACTCACAATGCACACATATCCACGATATGTTCTCATGCATTCTTCACAGTTATCAAACAATGCACACATATCCACGATATGTTCTCATGCATTATTCACATTTAATCACATACATACAATATGCATTTACAACATCTATCAAGCAATGCACACATATCCATGACATGTTCTCATGCATTCTATTCATACCACCATATACCAACAATATACATTCACAATTCAATATCATCACCGCATTATCAACAATGCACACATATCCACAATATGTTCTCATGCATTCTCAAGTAATTCATCATACAAGAATTACATCATGCTTACACGCATAACACATTTACCACGCAATGTACATATATTCACGATATATTCTCACGCATTTTTCATACATAATCGCATCCAATCAATACAAACATCATATTTATCAAATGATGCACGCATATCCATCAATATGCTCTCATGCATTCTTCATGTATCTTAACATACAACCGCATATAAACAATATACATCCACAATACATTTTTTGTATTATGTTTATTATTCATCTCATGCCATTTCATACAAGGTATACATGTCACAGTACCAATAATACAATTATAAGCTATGCACACATATATCCAAAATGTTCTCATGCATACTTATTACCTAATTGTACACTACATCAAACCTTCACAAACTCATCAAATAATACGCACATTACCATTATTAAATAATACACACATAATCATTATCATGTTCTCATGTATTTATAATCGATCTGATTAATACTCATACCACAAATCTAGGATTCACGCCCAAAGGCTACCCACAGCACATATCATCACCATGGATCACATACTTATTCATATCATAGAGGTATTAACCTATGTGAATCAATCAAACAATCATCACATGAACAACACAGCAAAAGAAAAATGATGTCACATTCGCCTTCATTCGCCTGGCGAACCCTCGCAGCGAACCTTCGCCTGGCCTTCGCCTGGCGAACTCTCTCAGCGAACACTCGCTAGGCTTCGCCTGGCGAGACTTCCCAGCGAGCCCAAGTCAGTAGCTACTGACTTCATTCGCCACCATTCGCCAGCACCTTTGCTGGGCGAACCTTCGCTATCCAACTTCGCCTGGCGAACTCGCCAGCGAAGTCCACTGGAACTTAATCATATTTATTCGCCAGCATTCGCTGGGCTTCGCCCGGCGAAGCTTCGCCTTCACTCGCCTGGCGAGAGCCAGCGAACCTGCGCAGAACAGAACCCCATTCTGTCTTCTCCCTTTATCCCACCATCAACCAACCACTTAATCATCAAAATCAGCTCAAACAACATACCCTCATGTTACCCGACTATTCTACGACATTATTTCCAAGTTTCAACTGATCAAATCATCATTCTACCGATTAATCCAACTTTCCCTAAAATGGAAAGTGATGAAAAACATCCACAAACCCAAACCCAACATACATAATAGCATACAATGATTAAATAGAAACATTTCTCACCCTTACCTCGATTAATCGGAGCTTTGATGTTGGTTCTTGATGATTTTTCCACTTTTCCTCTTCTTCTCCTCTCTTTCTCTTCTTTCTTCTTTCTTTCCTCTTTCTCTCCAAATGTTTTCTCTAATTTTCTTTCTCTTCTTTCTCACTTATATATATCCCTTTTATTTTCTTTCCTTCCAATTTCCTTTCAATTCTCTATTAATTCCAATTAATAAAAATTAATTCCAATTTTAACATAAAATCCCACTAAATCAATTAATTACTACAATTAATTATTTAATGAAATTTGGGTTGTTACACATATCACCTGTTTGATTAATTGAAAATTATAAATATGAGATGTTATAGTTGTCTCATACCTTCATGTTTATGTATTTGTGTGTAGTAGCTAAATGTGAGATGTGGAATTTTCAACATTTGTGTTTGTATGAATATCGTTTCTATCTGGATTAAGTTGGTGAAGTTATTGCTTTTTCTGACCCTTCATGAAATGTTGTCATTGTCTTTTGATAATGTTGAACAAAAGCAATCTGTCAAGGCTGAACTTTTTGGGATGGCTTTCATGTTT